TTCTATAGATAAACCTTTCCTTAACTTTTACAATAACAGACTAATACAATATTTGTCCTTTTGTGATTGACTTATTTCACTCAGCATAATGTCTTCCAAATTCATCCATGTTACGTGGTGTGTTGCAGATTCTACATTTTTCTTAAAGCAGGTCTTAAAGCCTAAAGAACTCATAAATTTCTTCTTGAATTGTTTTAATCAGTAAGTTTATGACAAGTGACTGGTCAGACCACATTTTATGTTATAAATGCAGCTGATTTGAATGAACCTAACCAATTCTTCCAATTTAGGCAAGGCCACATTTGTAATTGCTCTGTTTTAAAGTAAGTCTAGTATTTGCTCATTTCCTTATATGGTAGATAATCCAACTCTGGTTATTATCTACTAACTTATTATATACTCAAAAGATTTGTAAATAAAAAATTATTTTTAATCCTTTTTTAAGTAAAAATGAAAGTTTGCTGTTTAGCACTTTCTCCTGTGCTTGGCAGTGTTTCAGAATAAATTAAACAATGAATACACTTTGAGAGTCTTGTTAGATTATATCCCATTAATTTGTATTGCTTTCCTTTTAGATCCCAGGAGTCTAAATAAAGAGTGAGGTAAAGATAAACTCTATAGAATATTAAATATCAGTTTCTGAACTTTTCATCTTTTACTTTTAAGATAAAGACACAGATATCACCATGAAGAGGAATGTAGATGAATTTGGCCTGCGAGATACTTTGAGCATCGCATCATCTGATTCCTTTGCTTCAACTGCAGAGGTAGATCATATATATTCCTAATCAGGATTTCTCTTTCTTTTTCAGGTGGGGAGTGCAGTTTTAGCATTATTCTGTAATTCAATTCAGTAGCCATTTACTTTTGTCAGCCATGTGGTAGATATCAGGAATACAAAAATGAATATAAGTTATTCCTGCCCACAAAAACTTACAGTCTCTTCAGGAAGGTGGACATATAAACATATATTTTAGATGAGCCCTTGCCTAGTTATAGAGATTATGAGTGAGGCATATAAATCAGTATGTTTATGGAAAACAGTTTGTCATCTTATATCAAGAGTCTTAAAAGTGTACAGATTCTTTAGTTCAGAAGTAATAAATGCTGGATATTTATTCTAACAAATAATCAGATTTAAAAGTTTATATTTAAAAATATTCACTGTTTCTTGTTTTTAATTTATTTAGTTGTAATAAAATATATATAACAAAACATTTGTCATTTCAACTATTTTTATGTATATATTCAATGATATTAATTTGGTTCACTGTGATGTGCAATCATCACCACTGTTTCAAAATTTTTTCACCCTCAACAAAAATTCAGTACCTTTTAATCAGTACCTCCCTATTTCCCCCTCCCATCTGTCACTGGTAACCACTAATAAACTGTGGTCACTATGTATTTGCCTATTTTAGGTATTTTAAATAAGTGAGATCATGCAATATTTGTCCTTCTATGTCTGGCATATTTCACTCAGCAGAATATTTTCAAGGTTCTTCGATGTCAAAACTTGTATCAGAGCTTCATTTTGCTTTATGGCTGAATAATATTTCATTTATACATGTACCTCAGTTTGTTTAGCCATTCATCTGTTGATAGACACTTGGGTTGTTTCTCCTTTTTTAAGTAGTATTTCAGTGAACATTTGTGTACAAGTGTCTGTTTGCATCCCTGCTTTCAATTCTTGGGTATATATGTAGGAGTGGAATTACTGGATCATATAGTAATTCTATGCTTAACTTTTTGTGGAAGTGCCAAACTGTTTTGCACAGACACTTCACCATTTTATAATCCAGCAGCAGTGGATGAAGGTTTCAGTTTTTCCACTTGCACACCAACACATGTTGTTTTCCAATTTTCTGATAATAGCCATCCTAGTGGGTAAGGGAGCTCTGATGGCATAGTGCCTAAGGCATTTGACTGCTAACTAGAAGGCTGGCAGTTCAAACCCACCAGCCACTCCTCGGAAGGAAGGTTGGGCAATCTACTTCTGTAGTGCTACCGCCTCAGAAACCCAAGGAGGGGCCATTATGAGTTGGATCCGACTTGACGGCAGTGTTTTTTTTTTTTTTAGTGGTATCTCATGTGATTTTGATTTGCATTTCCCTAATAACTAGTCTACCACTTGTCTGTCAGTTTATCGTACTGTGGTGGCTTGTGTGTTGTTATCAGGCTGGTGGCTATGCCACCAGTATTTGAAATATCATCAGGGTCATCCATGGTAGACAGATTTTAGCAGAGCTTCCAGACTCAGACAGACTGGGAAGAAGGATGAGGGTATCCACTTTGGGAAAAAATGACTACTGAAAACCTTATGAATAGCAGTGAAACACTGGTATGTTACTGGAAAATTTTATGAATAGCTGTGAAATATTGATATAGTGCCAGAAGATAATCCTGTTAGGTTGGAAGACACTCAAATTATGGCTATGGAGGAGCTGCCTCCTCACAGTAGAGTAGGCCTTAAAGATATGGATAGAGTAAAGCTTTTGGGACCTTCATTTGCTGTTGGTGCATGGGAAGAGACAGGTGCAAGCATTCATTAATAATTGGAACATGAAATGCATGAAATATGAATCTAGGAAAATTAGAAGTTGTCAAAAATGAAATGGAATGCATAAAGATCAATATCCTAGGCATTAGTGAGTTGAAATGGACTGGTATTGGCCATTTGGTATACTATGCTGGGAATGATGAGAGGAATGACATTGTATTCATCAACAAAAATAATTTCAAGCTCTATCCTGAAGTATAATGCTGTCAGTGATAGGATAATATCCATACACTAAAAGGAAAACTAGTTAATATTACTATTATTCAAATTTATGCACCAACCGCCAAAGCCAAAGATGAATAAATTGAAGATTTTTTTTTTTTACCAACTTCTACAATCTGAAACTGACCAAACATGAAATCAAGATATATTAATTATTACGGGTGATTGGAATGCAAAAGTTGAAACTAAAGAAGAATCGTCTGTAGTTGGAAAATAGGGTGTTGGTCATAGAAATGATGCCAGAGATCACATGATAGAATTTTTCAAGACCGATGACTTACTCATTGCAAATACCTTTTTCCAGTAATATAAACGGTGACTATACACATGGACCTTGACAGATGGAATACATAGGAATCAAATCTGCTATATCTGTGGAAAGCGGCAATGGAGAAGCTCAATATCATCAGTCAGAACAAGGCCAGGGGTTGACTGTGGATCAGGCTATCAGTTGCTCCTACTCAAGTTCAAGTTGAAGCAGAAGAAATTTAAAACAGAGCCAAAATATGACCTTGAGTATATCCCACCTGAATTTAGAGACCATATGAAGCATTGATTTGACTTGAACCCCAGTGACTGAAGACGAGGTGAATTGTGGGATGACATCAAGAACATCATCCATGAAGAAACCAAATGTTCATTAAAAAGACAGGAAAGGAAAAACCAAAATGGATGTCAGAAGAGACTCTGAAACTTGCTGTTCAATGGAGAGTATTTAAAGCAAATGCAAGAAATGCTGAAATAAAAGAGCTGAACAGAAGATTTCAAAGGGCAGCTCGAAAAGACAAAGTATATTATTATAATGAAATGTGCAAAAATCTGGAGTTAGAAAACCAAAAGGAAGGAACATGCTCAGCCTTTCTCAAGCTTAAAGAACTGATGAGAAAATTCAAGCCTCGAGTTACAATATTGAAGGATTCTCAGGGCAAAATATTGAATGATGGAAGAAGTATCAAAAGAAGATGGAAGGAATACACAGAGTCACCGTACCAAAAAGACTGGTCAGTGTTCAGCCATTTCAGGAGGTAGCATATGATCAAGAATCAATGAAATTGAAGGAAGAAGTCCAAGCTGTATTGAGGGAATTGATGAATAAGACAACTTCAGGAATTGACAGAATCCCCATTGACATGTTTCAACAATAGATGAAGCACTGGAGGTGCTTACTTGTTTATGCCAAGAAATTTGGAAGACTGCTACCTAGCCAACCAATTGGAAGAAATCAATATATATGCCCATTCCAAAGACAGGTGATCCAACAGGATGTGGAAATTATTGAACAGTGTCATTAATATCACATGCAAGTAAAATTTTGCTGAAGATAATTCAAAAATGGTTACAGCAATCTGTTGACAGGGAATAGCCAGAAATTCAAGCTGGATTCAGAAGAGGACATGGAACAAGGGATATCATTGCTGGTATCAGATGGATCTTGGCTGAAAGCAAAGAATACCAGAAAAATTATACCTGTGCTTCATTGACTATACCAAGGCATTTGACTGTGTGGATCATAATAAATTATGGATAACATTGCAAAGAATGGCAATGCAAAACACTCAATTATGCTCATGAAGAACCTGTACATAGACTTAAGAGGCTGTCATTCGAACAGAATAAATAAGGGGATATATCATGGTTTACAATCAGGAATGGTGTGTGTCAGGATTGTATCCTTTCTCTGTACTTACTTAATCTGTATGCTGACCAAATAATCAGAGAAGCTGGATGATGAAGAATGTGGCATCAGGATTGGAGGAAGACTTATTAACAACCTGCAATATGCAGATGACACACTCTTGCGTGTTGAAAGTGAAGATGACTTGAAGCATTTACTGTGGAAGATAAAAGACTAGAGTCCTCAGTATGGATTACACCTCAACATGAAGAAAACAAAAATCCTCCAACTGGATCAATAAGCAACATCACAATAAATGGAGAAAAGATTGAAGTTGTCAGGGATTTCGTTTTACTTGGATGCACACTCAACACCCACGGAAGCAGCAGTCAAGAAATCAGAAATTGCATCGCACTGAGCAAATGAACTACAAAAAAACCTCTTTAAAGTGCTGAAGAAAAAAGAGATCTCTTTGAAGACTAAGGTGCACCTGAGCCAAACCATGGTACTTTCAGTTACCACATATGCATGTGAAAGCTGGACAACACGCATATGTTGCATTATGTGGTACATTATATAAGGAAGACCAAAGAAGAGTTGATGCTTCTGATTGGGGTACTGGTGAAGAATGCTGAAAATATCATGGACTGTGAGAAGAATGAGCACTTCTATGCTGGAAGTATAGCTGGAATGCTCCTTAGAAGCCAGAATGGCCAGACTTCATCTCACCTGCTTTGGTCATGTGGTCAGAAGGGACCGTTCCCTGGAGAAGGATATTGTGCTTGGTAAAGTAGAGGGTCAGCAGAAAAGAGGAAGACTCCCAACGGGATGGATTGACACAGTTGTTGCACTGCTGGACTCAAGCATTGTAGGATTGTGAGGCTGGCACAGGGCTGGGCAGTGTTTCATTCTGTTGTACGTACAGTTGCTGAGTTGGAGCCAACTCAGTGATACCTAACAGCAACACAATGACAAAAGAAAACAGAGCTTTGCTTGTACAGTGGTTAAAGTGTGTGCTACCCAAAAGATTGATGGTTCAAACCCACCAGATATTCCATGGGAGAAAGATGTGACTATCTGCTTCCAAGATTGCAGCCTTGGAAACTTTATCATGCAGTTCTACTCTGTTCTACAGGGTTGCTATGAGTCAGAATCGACTTGATGGCAGTGGATTTTTTGGGAAATGACTAATGATGTTGAACATCTTTTCATGTGCTTTTTTGGGCATTGGTATATCTTCTTTGGTGAAATATCTATTTGTGTACTTTGCCCATTTTTTAATTGGGATTTTTTTTTGAGTTGTGGTAGTTCTTTATGTGGTCTAGATATTAAACCCTTATCACAGATATTGTTCCCAAATATCTCCACTC